CATAGTAGTTATGCAAACTTCTAAAGTTTCACGAAGATGCGATGATTAGATAATACATAGAAAAACTACTACAATGAAGACGTTCATGCATTATTGCAGCAGTTTTTGCACTTATTAAATATTAATTTTGTTGATGATAATGATGATTATCGGTATCCTGATGTTGATAATTTTGATGTTGATAATGTTGAAGCATATACTGGTTAATGAATGATGATGTCATGATGATAATTATATATTATAGTAATATTATATATCATAGTAATGTTATAATTGTATTGTATTGATTAAGAATTTTCTAATGATTATTAGTTATGATAACGAAACGAAGTGATAGCTATGAAAGTGACACAAAACGTGGTGATGATGATGATGGTAATGATGATTATTATAATGATGACAATGACAATTATGATGATGATGATAAAATGATTTTAATGATAATAATTACGATGTATTAACAAGATTGCGCTATACATTAGAATCATAATTAGATTAAAGGTTAAACATTAAACTCGAGATTAATGATTTAACAGTACGGTTACCTTGCGATTCTATTGGCTAAATTTAAACAATAGAGTGACGTCACAAAACTCGTGAATTGCTATGTGTCATTTTAAGAAGAAAGCATTATTGTAACTGGGTTTCTGTTCCCAAATAATCTGTCTTTGCTGTTTTCTTCTAAAAGCCATTGCTACTTGAATTCTACTGACTATTTTAGCAGGAAAAGCAGCGCATATAGCATGTTAGATGTTGCTCTTAGCGCTGAATTTTTTTCTCATTATTTTCCTTTTTGTACCACAATTGTCAGATCAAACTTCACGGGTTAAGTGTCTTCACGCTATCCTCGAAATCAAACCTATAAGCTATACTTATTGAGTTTTTAAARTAAAACTCGGTAAAATGGCGTGACGCGAATGTATGAAATGCGGGCTAGTAAAATAGAACCCCCTATAAAAAAGGAATTCCCTCAGTCGTAAATCAGTAAATTTACGTTAGACTATTGTACATATCGTTCTGTATGAAGCTCGTTGGTTATAGCTCTTTATGGTCTTTTGTTCTTCTTGATTGACTTCTTCTTTATCTTAGTCTTCTTGACTTTCTGTTTTTTCTTCAACTTCTTCACCTTAGGTGGAGCTTGCAAAAAATGAGATTTATACAGTTAATCGGATTGACTATTAATCATAGACAAACAATCTTTATTCATAATATTCATAATGCCTATATTTCTCCATTTCGTAAAATTGATGTTTTCACTAGTGAAAATAACATTATTTTCACTAGTGAAAATAGCATTCGAGGTTTCTTTATATAGTGGAAGTAAGAAAAAGCTAATTTACGACATAATTTGCTTTCATATACAATTATATGATAAATAGAATATTACATGTTCGCTTAGAGATACGAATTTCATCTTCGAGTGTTGAAAATCTCTCTCGCTACGCTCACTCGTGAGAGATCTTTTCAACACTCGAAGATAAAATCCGTATCTCCGCGCGCCCATGTAATATCCTCTATTTATAATTGTTAGTAAAAAATAATATATATTGACTCTTAATCTGCTTTATATTCAGGTATTTTTTACGCAAGGAAAACACCTTCTGAACTTACCTAAAGGTGGACGAAATGTCGTACTTCGACGACAACAGTGACAGCAATGACAACAGTGACAACATGGGTGGTGACAACAACAATGACAACAACTATGACAGCATGGATGACAAATAGCCGCGCATGCTCCTTGTTCCTCGTGCTTGGGACAACACACGCCACCTGCGAGTACGAACAGATATCGGTAAGTTTGTATTTTGGTTAAGAAATATAAAACGGCGCGCGTGTCTCTGTCTTCTGATATAAACACGGTTGGAGTTGAAAAACACGAGAGAAGCAAGCTTAGAAACACGAGCGTAGCGAGTTGTTTTTATAAAGTTTTTACTGCGTTTTTCGAGCGAAAAACAAATGTTGCCGGTGAGCCGTGTCTCTGTCCTCTGATATAAACACGGTCGTCAGGCAATCAGAGCGCGCGTTATATATCAAAAATTTTATAATTAATGATATATTTCATCCAATGAAATCGCACTTTTTATATGCCAAAAATTTTACCGAAAGCAGAAGTTCTGCTATAGAATTACTTACATGGTCTGTAGCAGACTGGTACTCGTACCCACTGAATGTGAGGCTTTATACCCTTCCAGCAGATACATTTACATCCTAAAAGAACAATATATTCGTAAACTCGATGCATCTTAAAGGGCTATCTTTAACAGGCATGCAGTGCGGTCGTGCAGGAAATCGGCCATTTTGAGGTGACCTCGAGTATCTGTTTCAAACCGTCGGTTTTATTAGATAGAGCCCTATAGGAAATATCTTCTTTCATAGAGCATAAAGAGATAATAAATGATTGAGTTGTTGTATATTACGATGTATTTTAATTTAAACATAAAACGTAAAGCTCTTAAGGAAAGTCGGTTGATGAAGGCCCTTTGAAAATACACATTCGGACACGAAAGAGTGTACATCCAGCGTCTCTTATCATGGTAACCACATTCGTGAAACAAAAAAAAAGAAATGCAGGTTTTTATAATGAAGAAGTTATATTTCAATGTACCTTGGCAATTTCGCTGGTTAAGGTTACGCCCCAAGTGTCGGCATCTGCCACGCCCTCGACGATGCCCCCCTATTCTGCTTTCATCTGGTTCCAGCGTTGGAAGCTGCTGGTCATCATCGTCTTGATCTTCTTCCTCCTCCTCGTCTTCCTGCCCGTCATCTCTTGTGTACTCATCATCAGGCGGGGGATGTTTCCTCCCTCTCGGTCTCCCGTAGTGATATCCGGGAGGGGGTGGCGGTAGTGGATACCCCGCGGGACCAGGATTGTCCTCAGTTTGAGGGGTGGCACCCGTTGACCCAAATATCTTATAAGGCGATCGTGCCTGGGGTGTTGACCCTGGAGGGTATTGTAGCGTTTGTGGTGATGTCGCGTAGGCCTGCTGGTCTGCTGCGGGTTTTGTTATTCCTAACAGCTTTCCTAGGATCTGTTCTGCAGTTGGTATGTCCGTTTTTGAAATTGGACCTTTAAGATACATAGGAACAAACCGTGTTATTGTATGGGGTAGCTAAAAAGCTATTTTACGACATAGTTTGCTTTCATATATAATTACGCTCACTCGTGAGAGATCTTTTCAACACTTGAAGATAAAACCCGTATCTCCGCGCGCCCATGTAATATCCTCTATTTCGCTATTAGCTTGAATTGTATATCGTGAMATACGAGGAGCATCCGTTTAACATTACATTTTTAGCTGCGTTGAAGCAAAAACTAAATTGTCAGATAAAAGTACTTTCTCTGTAACATTCTATATAACAATGTCTGCGTTTCTCCCTTGATATCACATACTTTTTCATGATTCAAGATGGCGGCCGTATTGGTTAGACTGTACTTACTGTACTTACCAATGTTATATTTAGCATTTTTAAGGAGCTTGGGTTTCCTGTGTTTGATCGCTGAGACGACGCTCAGGACCAGGCTTGAAATGATTAAGAGGTAGACCTTGCTTCTCGTCATGCCTTCATTAGAGATGATACCACATCCTTAGAGAATCCCGCTCTCCTGTTTACGATAAATAAAAGATAGTGTGTAAGTGATAGCCGTAGTTTTCATAAGCCGTGAAAAAAGTGTTGTAATCAAAGTGTAATGGTGTGTGATGTTTTGGAGAACCAGCTCGCATTAAAGAGTAATTAAATGGGTATTTTACGGCTTTAGAGTGCTTTTTGTAATCTAGTGAAGTGCACTTTRGCGTATCACACAATTTTTCTTATTTACTTCAAACATATTTGATAAATTTTCTTATGACCAGCAGTAAGCCACTAAAGATGGCTTTAAAATGCATTTGTGCGTCTTAAACCTTAAAATGAAATGTTATTAGAAGATAATGAAGCMTTTTTAAGGATCTTGTTCACCCTACTGAATCTTTAATTTCCTCTGGTCGACCTTGTGAAGGTCACTAAGCGCTGGAGATCATTGGATGGGCGTTACCACTTGGAACCATAGYCACAAAGCCTATAACKTTTTTACTTCATATGCCGCTAAAGAATAACTTAACTTATATAATTCACTATTTTCGCTCAGCAATAAGATGTTATTAGGGAATTTGATAGTTTTGACGTACTGCCCTGAATGTCTGTAGCTTCTTTATGAACTCAGAACAAAGATAGTACTTGCCCTGTGTCAAAACCTTAGTCATCCCCCAAGGTGAAAATAAAAGAGCAATTAACACTAGAACTTCAGCTTGTGGCACAAGCGATTGTCCTTACCTGGTGAWTTATATTTCCACTAAAGTGGAGGCTTGCTGTGCGTCGACTTAACCTTTAGATTTCAAACACGAAGCTTCCGCGATGTTCCTTGTTCTCTGCCGTTTCCCAAAATACTTAAAAAATCGTTTCATCAGAGAATACCTCACTGAATCGAGATTCCACATCTGTGAGCTAAACTTACATATGTGATTAATTATTTAAAGCTCAGAAAAGAATACAATACGAAAAAAAAGCGAAAATGAGCGCGTTTTGATTGTAAGCCTATTTCAGAAGCTCTATGCTTTGGTAAATGAATAAAAAAAGAAGAATCTTTTTGTTATTTTGCGTTTATGAGGCTGTAATCTAGGGTTTAATGTATTGATGAAGTGGATGGTTCACGGTAGTTTAGATTAATAGGCAGGTTTTGTATACCTACCCACTTGAGAATTACACGATTCGTGGTGACTYCTCTTGACTTTGCACTTTCATCACACAGTGGTCCAGTCGTTGAAATAAGGATCAACTACTCGATAGTGGACCAGGAAGAAAAAAAAACGTTCTAAACTGTTCTTTAAAGCCATTTAAATTTCATGATATACCAAATTTTACCAGATATATCGAATTACACCTAAGTCAGGCTTTTTCATTCTTAATTTCAAATATTGTTTTCAATATTTAGATTTTCCTTCTATAGAATAATTTCTATATACATCTTTAATTTGGATAACAGAAACTTAGGATATGGGAGACCTTTTTTTTCTTATAGTTCGAATATAAAAAGATGGAGAGAAGGAGGGAAAGAAAGAAAGAAAGTTTTTCTATATTCAGTTTATGTAATTAGCCTTTGTTTATGCGTGAGGTTTTTTTTATTTTTTGGAAATGGCTTTTAAACCTGTTTTCAAAGAGATTGACCCAAATAACGAATCAAAAAATAAAAWTGTAAAAAAAATGAAAAAATGAATGAACTCTTTTAATTTTTTTCGGTCAAATTGAACTATAAGCCAATATGGCCAAGCTTTCTAGGGTTTTCTGATACTTTGCGTTTCATGTAATATATCAAAACTATTTCTCGTTAAGTATAAAAATGTCACATAAAACAAAAATTCCTCGTTTATTTCTTAGTTTTGAATCAATGTGGGCAAAGATTTCAAAATATTTTAATGCTGTTGTGGTTTCCAGTCAATTTGCGTTTATAATTAGCAACACTTATGTGACCTCTCTCTCTCATGCGTATACCCTAAAAAAATACTTTTCAGTTTCATCTCTATAAACAACAGATGTAGCATGATTCATATCCTGTATAGCTTAGTATAAGTAAACCACGAGTTGTAAACTTAATTTAGATTGTGTTTGAACGTCATTGAATAAAGAAGTGAACGAAAACGAACGTATACAGTCCCTTTAGCTGCGCAGAGCTGGAAAATTCTGCGACATTCATTTCAAGTTGATCAAAAATATCTTTCTACAACTGAGACTATTTTTGTCGGCTGTTCGTGATTCCGGTCGACTGACCTTGGTTTTTTCACTTTAATTCTTTAATCTTATTATAAATATAAGTGGAGTTCTTTTGCAAAGCGCGTTTTCTTTGCTTTCATTGTAAGCATAACAGAAAGATCAATTTGACGCCGTTTCTTATATGTGCGGAAGTCGACTATGCAARTACTATTGTTTCAGCTAATTTGCAATGCATCTGTTTGCATTTAAGTCAGCACGTGTGAGATGCGACGTGTGTAAGATGCCGGCTCAATGGGTGCAATTATCGCGAAAAATGAAACAAAGGAAATAGGAACCAGCGTTTCAATGGCGTGGCAAAGACTTAAAAAAAAAGACTTAGTAAAAGTGTCTTACTGACATGAAATTTTCTGAAAAGGAAGTGCGAATCAATGTCTTCTGCGTTTTTACGTATGCGTATGAAATTTGACGTACGTAACGTGACGTGACACGTACGTAACTTATTTGGTTCGAATACAATGAAATGCCAACATCTGACTTTTATAACTCTGTGTTAAATCCCCGGCTAATACCCTGCCCTCACCGGGGTTGGGTCACCGGGATTTCAGTTGACTGATGAATTACCTTTTTGATATCATTTACTATGATGCTAAAACTATGATGCTAAGTGAGGCTTGTGTAGTGTACTTCCTGWGGAGGCAGGTTTAAGAGATTGAAGGCTGAGTCACGTTATCTTATAACACACCAAATCACGTAATCAGCCACAAAAAAACCGCGATCAATTTACACAATGCCAATACACTCATCATTTACTCATTTTCAATTAGATAACTTGTTAATAATAAATGATGAGCAAAATCATTATCGTCTAAAAAACATCGATTTATAAATTAACRAATCAACAGGCCGGGTCGTTGGTAGTGTACGTCGGGCTCCCTGTGTGATAGATGAAAAAATTCAAAACATGTAATATCGAGTGTTAATCATTTTGATTCGCTCTAAAAAATGAGGAAAATTCATTATTTAATATTTATCGTCAAAATATGATTGTTATATGAATTCTAAAAAGACCTCCCCTCCCCACCATTAGAGTAAAAATTACTAAGAAAAAATAATATTTACACAGGCGGCTGAGAAAATACACTACATTTAAAAGGCCAAATAAAAGCCCAGAGATTAATCTTGCTTAAGAATCACTTTTTTAAAACGATGATGTGTTAACCTCTAGGAAATTGGACGAAAAATTCACATAAAATGGCCATTGCATTCGTATTTTTGTACACGTCTTTTAAATCATTGCCCATATTTGGCATCATTAGTACTCAGAGGAACTAGTACTGCAATGTGATTGGTCAGTTGGTTAAAATATTGATTGCTATCTGTCGAAATGACATGAACTGTTGATCTTTGCATGCCGTGGTGGGCGGCGTTTGAGAGTCGGGACAATTTAAAGAGTTTTCCTCYGAGTTTGAAGCTCTCCACTTTGTGAAATACCACAAGAAGATGTCTGATCAAGAGTACGACGACATTGCAAGAGATTCTACGGACGTCACTGATCAAGACATCGATCATCTACGCAAGAAGGACATGGATCCCGCCTCAGGTAGCGACTACAGTTCTTCAGAAAGCGAGGATGAAACCTCACGAGACTTAAAGCAGAGGAATGGCATCCAGGATGAAGCTAAGAACACAGACAAACCTGTTGATTTAGATGGAAACCAGGACGAAACGACAAAAGGAGATCAAGCTCCAGACGACGATGAAAAATACTCCGGGAGCAGCGACTCAGAAACAGACTCGGAATCAGAAACAGATAGTGAGTCGTACTCAGASTCTGAGAGCTCTTCAGATAGCGAGAGGTTAGTRATTTTACATTGGATAGTTTTTGCACAAAGGCTAATTTRTACCAGGTATGTCCGTTAAATTCCCACTATCAAAACATCTAAGAATGAATTTATTCTAACTCGCTATCTTTGGGTGTATACAATATAATGCTTGCCAAAAAGAATTACATGCCCATCAAGGAACATTAATTTTGAAACTTTGCATAATATCGATTATATAACCTTAGCATTTGTAACTTTGCTGGCTATTTTAGTTTTTGACTTCCTCAATAACTTATTGATTTCGGTWTAAACATGCTTGTTCTAAACAATAACAAAAATTTCAATTCATGTAAAATCCGCCAATGGCTMAGYGATAATCCTTTAATTATTGTGGAAATGGTTCAAATTGTTCTTTTCTTGGTGGCTTAAATTTAAGGCCGTGGAATTCTAAGGTTCTTTTAAATGAAAGACAACTTGTGTCSATATAATTGTTGGGTTCGGCTTCAAAACCGGATAAGCGTCATTTCATTTCACTTCATGCATACTACATATAGCGTTTCAAGTGCCATGTACAATGTCCATTTCATCTTTGACAGGGCTTCAAAATCGCATAAAAMATCGAATTATYTTTACGGTTTTTTCGTTGGCTGAACTKTAATTTCCATAACACATGAAATATTTTGTATGGGAATCTAAAAATATTTAATTAAAAATGTCTCCGATTACAATTTTGCATACGTCGTATTGACATTTAAATCTTATCTCTAAATACCTTCAAAATGCGTAATCAAAGGATTCCTGGCATTTAACATGTCATCCTAAGGAAGCAGACATTATAAATTCATTGTTATTCCGTCCAAAGAGAATCAAAATTGCTCGCAATGTGCTGTACATTTCTGCATAATAATTAATTGACTTTTTATATAAATCGCTTTATCAAACATATCATGTTATTTTGTCATTGCGAGGGTCACTCAAAATCTGATACATCTTAGACCTGATAAAGGCAGTAAATGCTAATTTAAATGTGTCAGACTTGTGTCGTTATAGTGCTTAACCGCTTGTGGTAAAGTGTGCATTCCAAGTATTCCTTCCTTTGGTCTTTTATAATTCTTTTGTCATGGGAAAAATAACATCAACAAACAACATGTTTTTGATTCAAAGTGTTTGAAGTGCGCTTGTGTTAGAGAGGTATTTGAATTGTGGTGTAGGAAGCATCATTTGGGGTTTCCCTTTAGTGATAAATTAATGATAAATCAATGATTAATCTAAAGTGGTCTTGATGTAGGTGTGGTTTCAGCCTATTTTGAGTTCAATAATTTAATGATTAATTATAACTATATTAAATTCAATTTTATTTCATCATAACAAGTCTGCCTCAGTCCATCAATTGTTCAATATTAGGATGTTTATAATTTCGTAAATGATTATTTTAATGTCTGTCGGTTTAAGACCAATATTACAATACCAGCATTTATAGAGAGTTATTTTCTTATTCTTCAATATATTTTTATTTCCAAGCATAATAAAAAATTCCTGAAGGATGCCCATTGACCATGGTCCTTAAAGCCAATATCACTTGTTTATATACATGTCTGAAAGCCATTTATGTGTTGTTAAGTGTCAAAATGATTTGTTGGTTGCCACTTAATGGTACTAGTATCAATGTAACAATAATCCACTTATGTTTCAATTATTAAAACATTTAGAACCATTAATCTGATTAGAATAATCCTTAGCTATTTGGACATGATAAAACTGAACGTGTATATATATATGCCAGTGAAGGATGTGCTGGCACCAGATTGACCAGGTCAACACCGTAACAATAATATTCCTTATCATTATAAATCAATAACCTTTTGTCACAGGTATTGTCTAATAAGGCAAAATTAAGGAGCTTTGACATGTGATACCATTGTATTAACCTAAAGCCAACTAGATCTTTCTCCAAAATGGCTGCCAAAAACAATTGTGGTACCTAAGGCAAGATGACCATTTAGTTGTTAAGTATTTTATGCTTCACTTCAAATTATCTAGAAAATTCTACTAATGGATGTGAATTGTAATGATAGTTTTAATTTCAAATATGTCAAGTTTAGCATCAAATCTCAAAATGTTATGCTGATATTGAAGATATAGACCATGTTTGTCCTGATAAGATATTATATAGTTACTGCAAAATTCATTACACAATTAATTGTGATGACAAAATTRGTTAAGTTGTAAATATTTCTAGAGAATCAAGGATTATACCTTCTAGGTTTGTGCTACATATATTGATAAAATTCTTAGAAATTCCAAATATAGACAATTAAAACAGTTGCCAAGTTGAATATTATTATCAAATTTCACGCTCTGATTGGATCCCTGGTGTTCAATTGTTTGTTCTGTGTGCATAACAATGAGACTGTTTTCATCTAGACCCGTATATATATGGTTATAAAAAAAAAATAGAAAATAACATAACAAACTACTCTATATGGTGVTAGAGTACAAACACTAAAACTGTGCAACATAAATACCACTAAATACTGCTAAATACTGCTAATTCTATTGTTTTCTATAGTTTAATTAACACTATTTTGTAGTAAATAGTGGAAAGTGTTGCGCACATTTATTGTTTTTACTCTATATATGTATGTAAGTATGCTACTTTTTTTGTAAAAAGGAAGTTTTTGCATAAAATGCTTATCCTAGGAGCTACTAGTATATATTTGTATGAAGTTTATAATATATTTTTTTCAAAGAGGAAAAATTAAGGTAGTGTTGTGAAATTTCATCCTATGAAGGTGTACCTATTTGTCAATGAACTTATAGCCTGCGTGCAGCCAAACCAAAACTGTAATTGTATTCGACCATGACAACAGTTTAGGTTCAGCCTCACGCAGGCTATAAATTTGCAATGCACTAAATTTTAAAGTATAACAAAAATTTCACATATTTTTAGAGCCTAATGCTCATTGATGTTTACATTTTATGCATTTCCGTGCATTATTGTCATTTTGCATAAGTGTCATGCCAGCTCAGTAGGGTATTGTATACAAATGACTACTCATGACTCTTGCTTTTATAATATGAGCAAACGTGTGAACACAGCACTTAAGTATATGGTCTAGCCATGTCAAAGTTATATGTTGCTGTAAAGAAACAATGGTTCTTTATTAATCTTGAATACGATGGAAGGCTAAAACTGTATGTAGATCATATACTAGATATACGTACATAATCTATTTTTCATACTTTTTTATTGATATCCACATATGTCATTGGCGGTGCTTCAATGCAAAACTCTGTCTCTCATCCCGGAAATTGAACGAAGCAAGTTTTAGTGGATTATTACGTTCGTAATGGCACAAAAGCTTTGACAAAAAGCTCGTAATTTCAAAAAAAGACTCGTTTTCCAGCTTAAAAGTTAGCTCTGACAAGCATATAAAATTTCATATTTTTGTGCATCATATATCTATCGCTCTGGTCATTCCTGGAAAATCACCACTGACTTTTTACCCCTTACGGCATATCATAATAGATAAGGAGAAGATAACATTCAGTAACGATTGCTTCTTTATTTTTCAGAGAACGAGATCAAAAAGGAAAAATTACAGTTGAAGAGCTCCCGAAAACGGGAACAGCAGCAAGCTTTAGGACCAGATTCGAACAAGAAGCCCAGAAGAGTGCTGAGGTTCAGGCTTCTCAAAGGCGCGTTAAAGATGAAATCGAATCAGGTCGAGCAAGTTCACATCGAAAAATCTTTGAACAAAAAATTCAAGAGGAGTCTCAAGTTAAAACTTCCACACCAAGAATTGAGGTTGACGGGGATAATAACTTTTCTGGGAAGGCGCGCTCACATCGGGCCATTTTTGAGCAAAAGGCACAAGAACAACAGTCTGTTTCCCCTTCCGCGTCCAGGAAATTTGACGTGGACTTCTCTGGCAAGTCCAGAAATACTCGCGCTCTTTTCGAGCAAAAGGCCAGGGAAGAGAGTGGTCCTTCTCCCACCCCGAAACGGAAATTCGATGTAGAATTTTCTGTAAAGGCCAAGTCTCATAAAGCAATCTTCGAGCAAAAGGCTCAAGAAGCGTCTGAAACAAAGTCTGCTGGAAGAAAACTCTTAGATTTGGGGGATAAGGAAACTGAATTGCAAGGAAAGGCTTTATCACATCGCAGTCTCTTTGAGAAGAAGATTGCAGAGGAAAGCGAAGTAAAGACTAGTGCTGGAAGAACATTGGAAGAGGAAGTCGCGCCTAAAAAGGGCTCCACGTTGTCTGCAGTAAAAATATTTGAGAAGAAGCAGACTGAGGAGTTCAAGAAACCAGAAAGGGAAGATCTCATTGAATTGATGAAGCAAAAGGAGAAAGAATTGGCAAAGCACGAGAAGAAATCCAGGAAGCACTCTAAGGGTCATAAACACAAAGATCACCATCACAAAGAGCATCATCATAAAGAACACAAGAAAAAGCGCCACTCGAAGGCATCAAGTAGTGGCCACAGTGAACATAGTGATAGAGACCACAGTAGCACAACCGAGAGTCACGAAGTGGAAATACGTGTCGATACATCGCAAGATGTCGAGAGTGCGCCACACGATGTATTCGATGAAAATCGAGACGAAAAGGATGACTACGACTCCGAAGAAGAAACGAGAAGGCGTTTGGAGGAAGAAGAGGAAAGGGATCGTCTTGAGGAGGAACAGGATAGACTGGAGGAAGAAAGAGAACGAGAAAGACTAGAAGAAGCACGACGAAAGCTAGAAGAAGAGGAGGAAAGACTACGTGAGGAGGAGGAAGAAGAAAGGAGAGCAGAAGAAGAACGCCGAGCTAGAGAAGAGGAGGAGAGGCAAAGGGAAGAAGAAGAACGTAGAAAGCGCGAAGAAGAGGAAGAGAGACAAAAACAAGAAGAAAAGCGGAGAAAAGAAGAAGAAGAAAGAAAGAAAAAGACAGAAACTGAATCTGATCCAACATCCTGGAGAGCAAGACGAGAACGTCGCCGACGCGAAGAGGAGCGAAAAGAACGCGAGCGCACGGAAGCTGCCGAGCGCAGAGCTTCTAGAGAAAAAGAAGAAATAAAACGAGGCGAGGAAGAAGCCAAACAAGCAATAAGTACACCATCAGTGACGGTTACCAAAACTGATAGCCACACTGGAGAGAAAACCACCGAGGACGAGGAGACGATGACAGCTGAGGAACGTCGTGAAAAGGCACGGCAGGAACGGATCGCCAAACGACTTGCTCGACGAAAAGAACGACAGGAATCCCAAGAAAACCTGTTATCAGACACGAGTACCACCTCGAGAGGAACGCAAAGGACGAGTGAGGATTCCGAGACGTCATCTAGTAAAGATACTGAGGATGGTACTGCTAGCTCTTTTGCACAACGTCGCGCCGAACGAAGAGCAAGACAGGAAAGAAAGCGAAGTGAACAAAACGAGGAAAAGAATCATGTCGAAGAAGAAGAAACTCGGTAAGTCCAGATTTTCAATTACTAGTCTTCATGACAGCTCTTGGGGGAGGGGATACCTTCTCCTTGGAGTCGACACGCAGACTATTGTTAAACCTTTTTTTAATCATGCATATTGCGCTCTTGCCTACGTTTCCGTCCCCTTCCACTTTATTGAACTGGACTTCGTGTTTATAAGACCCGTTGACCACATCAAATCCTAAGGGAATCCACTCGGTCTAGCAGTATCTTTCCCCCATTGACCACTTAAGAAAGGATGARTAGAGGATTAAGGCTATTTGTCGTGGTCGCTTAATGGAGGGTGACTGCAAAATAGCGACCACATGCAGAGGCAATCGCTATTATCCTTCGGCCTTCAGTTTATGACTTCCTGTGTCACGGCTAGCCTGCGTTTTATCCAATTTTTAATTTCTCTTTACTTTCACTTTTATTTGGAATATTCAATTGTTGTCACGCAACGCTTCTTGAATATTGTGTTACCTAATTATACACAAGGTGCAAGGCTTAACTTTGACTTTATAATRCAGTTTAAACCCAGAAGTAGATGTGAGGGTAAGGGGTAGTAAAAACAATCAGTCGGTTCCTATGGATAGTCTTATGATCTTGCCCAAGCACAACTCCGGCCATTGCAGCGAACAATAGACCCTCTGAACCGGAAACACGTCACGTCATTTCTTTCAAAACCTAGTATATATCTGCAACACCCCCAGGCCCTACTTGTATTTAGAAGAGCTAATATCGCCAAAATTCGCTGAATATTCTTGCGAAAAGTCTTCGCATTGTATTTGACCCGTCGGATTTACGTTGGTATAGATACGTAGCTTCTTCGACTTGAAAAACGGACCTTAGGAACATCAAATTTTATCATGAGGTGAGTCTCGCTTTACGTGATGGTCCAAATACGGTTATAAAACACGCCGGTCGAATACATGGAAAGAAATATGTCATCATGCTTTTTAAGTGACAAAAAAATGAAATAGATTCGAAACGTGATTTCAGAAGTGTACTCTTRAACCAATATATTMGAGAGAGTTCTTAAGAAGAACAAAAAATTCAACGGTTACATAACAGGAAAACCGAAAGCCGACATCAGTATGCACTCGAGCGCTGAAAACGTAACGATTCGTGTTTGACGTCTCTGATATTGAAAATTGTTGCCCAATAAACTAAACATCTTGTACCATATTGAACGTTTTCGGCACGCAATGTACCTCACAGCTGGGTTAATAATTTTTTTCAATRTTTTACATTGTTGTTTAATACCTATTTTATAGCTGTGAAATTAAATTGAAATGATTATTTCAGCAATCCATCTAAAATTTGCTTTCACTTCATGTTCAATATGGGTTTRTTTAGACATWAATTGACATGCTTGTCACGTATTGTTTGRATAGTTTTTGCATTTTGAAATCAATGACAAGATAGCTTCAGGCACGTCTTAGTATAAATTTAAATATTGTACATATTTAAAATTAACTGTCACAAAAATTCGTTTCAATATCATGGCATATATGCCCTCCTACTATTCTATAAATTAGATGAACATTATCGCTTTAAATATCAATGTATGTAACTCTATATCAAGTGGATTCATGGATTCTGTTTAAATCTAGTGCTTCAAACACGTTCTGTCATCCGTTTCTGAGTGAAAATATTATGAATACTAGGACATTATAGAGACTTTTTATTCCTAAATCTCATCTTAAAGTATTCAATTATCGACATTGTGTTTTTCTTTTATTTACGTCAATGCGCTGGGCAGTCCTTAACACAAGTGGTTCTGTCAACAATGGCTCAAAATCTCAACYAYATGAATGATTAATTCGCTATTTGCCTGGCAATTATTCTAGAACTTGAACAAACGCGCTTGTCATTTGTCGCTCCCAACCAAGGCATTCACATTAATTCTGCTCTTCTCTTATTAACTTCAGTTCAACGAGAAAGACCCGCACTGCTAGGTCKAACCTCGGTAAACARGACTCCACTACATCTGAAGAGGAGACCAACAAGTCCAACTACACCGCTACTGTGAAATCGCGGTTCGAAAGAAAGGGCAGCTCAGAGAAGAACCTAGAATCAGGCTCCAAGAGCGAGTTTACATCTTCAATGGACGAAAGTGAAAAAGACAGCCACGCCAGCGACAAAGAGCCACGATCGACACGTCGTGTCAGAGACGAAACCGATCGAGCCGCTCCAAGATCGCGAACCGAGGAAAGCCCCTTTCATTTATCGAAAAATCGTATCRCCAAGATCAATGACAAGTCGAGTGAGGAGGAATTAAAACCGTCCGGCTCTCCGGTAAGCGTTAATTTTACTCTTAGAAATGTTATTGCTCGCGCTTGAATGATTTTCACCTACATTAGCATMAAATCTAAATGGAAATCATAGAGTTTGAAGATTAAAGGAATTAATATTGGTAGAGTATTGTTGTACGAGGTGTTTTTTGTTTCAGTTACGAGTACCACCTGTACTTTCGCTTGTCCAAACTACAAATGCGCTACAAATGTGATTGCGTGACAGTTATTCTTGTGTGACAATATGAAATATCTGTTTCAAATCTTTCTAACTCTGWTTGATTTTTTTCATTTCAAAGAATAGTACTATAAAGCTTAAGTGAAAAACTTGAGAATTTGTACGACAGATCGGGCAAAGCAAATAATGACACTRAATCAATAATTTTTGCGTAAAAATTCCCGACATGTTTCAYATAAGCGTGACGAGTTAGCAAKAAATGCGTGACCRCGTCGARCAATAAATGTAACGTCACTTGCGTGACATGGCGACAAAGAACTACAACACGAAGATTTTAGAATAATTTATAGCCAAAGGCTATTTTGTCTGGTWTTTCTAATGAAACCAGTTATTTGAGTTGATTGGATTTAGTAGAGAATTCATCATTAGGGATTATTGTTTGCCTTTTTGATTTCTTTAAAATTCGTTATACTCTTATTTAGTCTAAAATGCACTCAAAGAAATTTCGTCCTTTAAATTTTTAATTACAATTTTATTTTCCTCATTATAATTTWAAAAAAGTATAGAAAAACAAAAGATACAGATGTCTGTTTTATTAAAATAACAGAATCCGTTTTAAAAGGTTTGTGAAAAAAAAATGAATTGAAAAAATTAAAAAAATGATTGAGAAAAGAAAATACAAGTTCAAAAATGTTTTTGGCTTTGTGTGTTTATTTTCCTTGTTTTATCTTCAACAAGAGAAATTTTAATTGTAATAAATTGTTTTTTCAAAGCTGTGACATAAGAATTTCACTACTTTGTAGTATATTTTAAAATTGCAGCTAGAAATAGTCATATTAAAATCTGAATAAAAATATTTGTCACTAGCCTAAGATTTTTATGAAAAACACAGACGTTTGGTCAGAACTCTGACCTTCCTCAGTGCATTGTAATATAAGAGCCAGGTTTTGTAGTATATTTTTGTTCTATTTTTAATTGAACAACATTTTTTTAAATGACAGCATGTTAACTTATTTTTTATTCATTTATTTAGCGTTTCCCAAGAGCAGGAATAAAAGTGGAAACCGAGAAATGTGAAGTTTGCCAYAAGACGGTCTATCCAATGGAGAAACTTGCAGCTGACAAGAAGGTCTATCATAAGCCTTGTTTTAAGTGCTCTGAATGCCGACAAACATTGAGGTATGTTGCCACCCTCTCTTAGTATAATACATTGCCCTTCCCCCACCCYCAGAGTATTACTATATGTAATAACAATGTACATTGCTTTGACAGATATGTTTTTAACTCAGTRAGGCAAAAATGGCTTGCTCGATCTAATTTTRTWATCATTGCTAACCAAATATTCACTAATATGGCTGGCTGCTTAAATAGGCAGGTTATTGCAGCTTGATTATCTTATTACATTTAATAAAACTAGTGGGTAGCCAACTATTCATRAATAGAGTTAAGTTACCAAAAACATATGAAACAGATATTTAGATAATAAGCTTAATAGTTAGGCTCAATTACTTCGCTTGCTTACACCTTGATAATGTTATTTTATTMTCATATTAAAGGTGTTTACCAAGTGTTTAGTGACAGGTTTAGGTTACCAGAAACCCATGAAATAGATATTTGAGAAAAAATGTTGGAATCTTTGCACCTTGAACATTTTTATAACATAGTGGTTACCATAAACCTGTGAAACTAAATGTAATAGTGTGTGATGTATCAAAAGCAAAGAAAAATGTACAAAATAAGGATTAATAATTTGTATTTCAAAGATTAAAATAAACTTTAAAAAGTGATTAACAAAGTATTCAGTAATACTTGAAATAGATATTTGATGAATGTTGGACTCTTTGCACCTTGACCATTAATTCATTTTAATAACAATAAAGAACAAACAGCTGTTCAATAATAGATAAGTAAGTGGCCATCCTCAACAGATGGACTATTGCACCTTGTAATTTCATGATACTTAATAATTTATAAAACATATGAAATAGATATTTTGAGTAATGGATCATAGGATTTAATCGTTAACCAAATATTCATTTAGAGGATTAAGTAGCCAAAGCATATGATTGAAATAGATATTGGACTTTGGACATTGGCTGACCACTTGTCTATACTCAATAGAAAACTCGTTAACAATTTATTACGTGTGTTTAAGAAGTTGTTTGCATTGTATMAATCTTGACAAATAATTCCATTGCTTGTGATAGTGTTGTGTGGCAAGGTGTAGTTGTAGTTATCTAATGATAATGACAATGCGGATTGTAWTTGTAAATTAATAGTAATTTAATAGTGATAAATATTAATTTAATATAAGAACGATGGAGTTGATAATAATGATGACAATACTGATGATAATAATAGTCAATTAATAGTGATTCAACGATGATAATTAGCGACTATTAATGATTATTTATAGTGATAATAATACTGATGTTAATGATAAAAATAAATCAGTATGATAATAGGCAGTGTGCCGCGAAGCCGGTTTTTTCATCTGTTGAGTTGAATTCTTACTTGTGAGAAATGAATTCTTTCTGAGCAAAGGAAATGTGTTTGTATCATGCCGAGTTTATCCACAATGTTAACCATTTTAAGTGTCAACTTTGTGTATAGAACTCGGCATTGTATAAAAATATCCATTGGTAATTTCGTTCTAAGTTATCAATTATTTTACGTGTGTGATACATAGTCAGGAGACTACACTGTAATCCCAAGCAGACGTTGACTTATGTGTGCTTTCTTCGTACTCTTGTTAACTGCTTACAAGTGAATCCTGCATGTTCCGTCACCGCACGATGCTGAGAGAACTCGTGGATTTGTATTGACTCAAATTCTTTTATTATCGTGGATTTATCAATCCACGAGTTGGAATATCAAAACATATCAAACCACGAGTTAAATAGTARTTTTGTTTCATTTGAATTACCTGTGGCAATCAAGGTTAAGTACGTCACTTTTTATAAAATAGGCTCCGAACTGCAGGGTTCTATCGTTAAATCTTCTTAACACATCTACAAAGTCCTAATGAATAACCCTGATTTTGTGTGAAAATAACCAAGTTTGACGCCTAATTTTATTGATTCAACCGATTAAACARATTCTTTAAATCTTTGGAAACTCCTTTGGCGACTCCGTTGGAGCTTGGGAGATTGGTGTGAGYGCAAATTATTCGCTCGCCCCAATCTTTCGGTCCAAGGAGACATGATCAGTAAAACAATCTTGAACAGTTTCATTCATAAACTCAATAATAACTAAATACAATACGAACTCGGTTCTGACCTGAACTCATTCACGAGCAAAATTCAGCATTTCTGAAACGTAGCGCAATTTAACTTGATTTTCTCATGTTTGGTAGTTCGGGAAAAACTGCGACAWCCATTACCCGCCGTTACTAAGGTAGGCACGTGCGGATCACGTGTTTTTCACGTGCAATGGTGACGTATCTGTCGTACGTATACAGTGACGTCAAAACGTTCATCTTTCSTGACGTACTTGATCTCGTGACTTGTTGCCATAGGTATTCTTGAGCATGCGTCGTAAAATTTTTTGTTTGCTTTTGTGTTATAGAGCTTCATTATAATGACTGTAATTTCATCTCACGTTAATTGCGTCTAATTACTCGGATTAGTGTTTTTTTGTAATAACATGCATAATACATCTATTTCAGGAAACGTTCAATGCCTAATGAATTGGAGTTTAGGTGGTTTCAAAACGACTATTCYCTTTAATTATAAGCCATCTGCTACGCTGCGTTTAAGTTCTCGAAGCACAGCGTCCCCAGTTCGTATAATATACCAAGAAACCTCTATTTAACAGTAAGAATTTTTATTCCTTGTTTTCAGGCTAGGAAACTTTGCCGCTTTAAATGGTAAGCTGTTTTGCAAGCCTCACTTTAAGCAGCTGTTTAAACTGAAAGGWAACTACGACGAGGGCTTTGGACGGCAGCAGCATAAACACCAATGGGGGGCGAAAATGAACGGATCGGATAGTAGTCCAGTCGAGTCAAGCTAGTACTTTTGAAACAAAGTACCACGTTTTTGACTTAATATTTTTTTTTGGTTGGGATACCTGTGTTGAGCTGGATGTAATCTCCACAGGAATCCCATCTTCGATGTTTTTAAAGTAGTTGATTTAATAGAGATAATTATGACAAGGGCGGTCGATATTTTTTTCTTGGGATTTAAATATTACTGAATAACGCAATCTTTTTAATCATTTGCTCGTGACATTTATTAATWTTTTCTGTCAATTTTTGTGTTTTTGTATTTTCGTTTGTTTCGTTTGTTGTTGATGTTTTGTATTAACTGGATTTTTTTTCTTGTGTTTTTTTTTCACGGATTTAGTGCGTCTACTATAGTGCTTGTTTACCCGTCTTTGTGCGTTTTATTTGTTGCTAAAATAACCATTGTAAACATTGTATTTTCGTTAGAAAACTCTACATCAAAACCTTAGTRGATACTTATTTATACATCTATTTCAATTGACGTCGATATGGATCATGGGAAATTTTCGATGAGATCCATAAGCATCATGGGAATGTTTTAAATGASCAAAGCATCGCAAACTCACGTTGAACTTCAAGCCTTTCCTTCTTAATTGTTCTAACGTATGCAATACAGTGATATAGAAGCAATCCATCATGCATAAATCAAATTTAATGAGTTCCCATAATTCATATCGGTCTAGTTCGAACTTTTCACTTCGACTCAACGTTACTGAAAATAGTTGTATGAAAATGGCATCCAACCAGGGTTTTGATAACGTCAGAATATATCATTGCATAAAATAGATATAAATTGCTGTAATTGTTGTATAAAGAGATAATCAAATATGAAGTATTAGATATAACAAAAAAATGTTGAATTCTGTGTCGAGTTTCTGAACAACTTCATGTTGTACTGGATTTTAGATTTAGTGAATTACCTTATTAGAATTGATATAATTTCGGACTAATTTCTACTATTTCTATTGTTTAATTTTAATTTCTGTTAAATGAAAATAGATATATCAGTACTTATATCACGCGTTTACAAYAACTCGTGGATTGTGACTAAAATCCCTATTTCACTCAACTTCGTAGAAATTATTTGAATATTTGAGAGGCGCAAGTCAATATAGGTTATTTTAAARAGAAACTTACGTCTCTATTCTAACACTATTTTCCAACCAAATTATTACATATTTGGAATAATGTGGGGCTTGCACAGTCACGTGGTCAGCCGCATTGGATGATGGGAACAATAAATGCAACGGAAGTTTTATTATTTTSAAGTAAGACACTCCCGCTTTCATGTGCTCGTGCAATCTCCAAGCAATTATCAAAGAAAATTAAAAAAACTGATGACAATTGCAAGAATTTTTGGCATTTTAAAATTTTTGTAAATTAAATTTAGATTTTCATATATGTAAGCTTAATGTGTTTATAAAATTTCGAAATCCCACACTTATTRTGAAGAACCCATGGATAATTTTAGATTTGTTATAAAGAAATAAAGTTCGCTTTTAGACTGCTGTCGATGTTGTCACTCACTCGCTCTATGATTAGTCACTCACTATCCGATCTTCCGCAAAGCCCCCCCCCCCCCTCTCTAGATCCTCCCCTTTTAGCGTATTTTGTAGTTCACATGAACTAACTGTGGATTCCCGCAATTTAAATATAAACTCATGTTGAACAGGCACATTCGCCCCATTAAAATTAGAGACAGTATACAGTGACAATGCTTCCCAAACAACTCATTTAAACTACAAAAGCCCGCGATATTAAAATACAAAAAAGAAGCCTTGCAATTTCCCGGAATATATTCTTTGTCTTTGTCTGTAAAACGCYCTTAAAAAGGGTTTGAATATTAAGACATTAAAGTGAGAGCACCCCTTACAAAACACATCACCACTGACCTGAAAGAGGTCATGACACATCTACTGGCTTATTTTATAGTCTGTCAATAATCTCCTCCGCTACTCTAGCGACTAAGGGTTCCTGTGTACAAAAGTGAGATATACTGGGGCGAACACTAAAATCTGTTAGGCATTAAAGCAATTACAAAGGAAGCCTTCAACTATAAAATAACCTTTTTTTATGTATACATAATAGTCCATTTTAAAGTTAAACGTCAGTGTTTTTCGAAGTTTCAAATTATAAGCGTAACACTTAAAAAATGCTTGGCATTTGGTCTTCTGACTCAAATATGCTTAAAAAATCCTAAAATATAATGTCAATAAAAACGACAATTTCATTAAAAGGATGTTTGTWTTAAAATTACTCTCTTCTCAAATTTACGATTTTGTTTTGAAAAATCTATCGCTAGTTAGCAGTCAAATGGACTGGGTACGAGATTGGCTGGTTCACTCCACGTCGAGGCTCATGGGGTACAATCCACTCGCTTTGATAAAAGCTGGCGATAATGCCCAAGTTATGAAACAGCTTCCATSAAGCGGTTGAAAACACCCAAGAAACACTCCATCTTCATCACTCAATCATTCTTCCTTGACCGCAGGCTCTTGACTGATTCTAGCGTGGTATTTTTTGAGTTCGGTCATCCATTTGGCAGGCTTGGCAGCTAAGAASGTACTTTTCACTTTCGATGGAACSGAGCCTTTGACCTGGCAGATAATAGTTACCTTCGAGGACTGGGAACCATCGTCGATTGGACGAATCACAAGGCCAGACACTAAATAGTATAATCTGGAGAAGAAAGAAAACAACGTCTTTATCTTTGGTAGTACAGTCTTGGTCATAACTTGGGGAATTAAACACTGTTACACACATAATATTATGCTAATTATTTGCCTTCCCATCCACCCTTTCGGTCTTAGCCTCAATAAGGCAACCATTTTGGACGCGAAAGCGTTTTTGTGTCTGAGAGGCGCGTGTGTTTACAAATATGTTCCATAGTCTTACTTGAGTCGTTTGTTTTTTGCAAGGTCRAGACATGGATGCGTTGTATTCCTCCAGGCGGAAGCGTAGAAAGGTTCTTCTGTGTCTTGACGATCGAGCACAGCCAAGACAAACTCTCGTTTTTTGACGGGACTGAAACACAGACGRATGATATCATTAACCGACTTAAATTCGAGACAACTTCGTTCCCAGTCTCTCTGCTTGCCTTACTTTTTTTCAAAATGGCGCCCCTCGTATCGAAGAGCCTGCCAGTTTTAATCTTACATGTTTATTTAGCTCTGTATACAATACATCTTTTAAACAGAGAAGACAAGTGTGCAGTGCATAATACGATGTCAGCAGTACTTACCAATGGACCACTGTAGACGTATTATTGCTCTCTAATACTTCCACTTTATCAAAGGTTTTGTCCCATTCGTGACGRGATTTCCAGTCGCTTAGTATTTTAATAGCTGAAAGGAAAAGTGAGAGTTCTGAGATACCAAATAATCAGTGGAATAATCGTGGAATAATCGTGCAGTAATCGTACAATGATCGTGAAATAATCGCGTAGTAATCGTACAATAGTCGTAAAATAATCGTACCCTGATAAGTTTCTGCTATTTACAGTTGAATGGAATACAATAACATTTGCCAGTTTCAATATAATCTTTAGTTTTACTTCGTGCACCAAACAAATTTCAAGAAAACCCCTATACTATGCGATTCTTCAGCAAAGTTGTTTCTCCAGGCCATTACGAGACAAGTTGCCGAGAAAAATTGCACAATATAACAGCACCTTTAGGGCAATAAATCTTACCACTAGGGTATGGAACACCATCCAGAGTAATAACAGCCTACAAATAATAATATGTTTAGATGTTGATTTTACACATGCAAAACGAAGAAGCTAAGAATTACATCACGGCTCTATTACCTTAGTGATCCGAGGACCACCTTCGTGAGCTTTTCGCTTCCATATCTCAAAGTCTCGTGACTTCTTGGTTCGTTTCCAGCCCACGTCTCCTGCYTTTTCCCACTCGACCAGTCTATCGACGTCTTCGTCTCGTACGGCAGAGACTGGGAGGGTACTCTCTGTATCAAGACCTCCATACCAGACAGGCTTAGGACCGCCATCGTAGAATTTTGAAGTGAAACTGCTCTCTGTTGTATGACAGAGAATGCGTCAGTCAATTGAACCCCCTCCCCTTCCCCCCAAAGGTCCGGRATGAGCAGGTGAATTAATGATCAGTGGGAAGTCGAGAATTTAACGTCAATCATAGCAATCAGATAAACGTCGTATATAAATCGCAATCCCTACAATTCGCTTAAAGTGCAAACGAATTCGCTCAATTCGAAAAATACTAATTAATAGCAATTAATTAACTAATAGCAATCTATGCATATTTCCCCCAACCCTACTCCCTTCAGAACACAAATGATATCATGCAGCCGCTGACCTTGTGCCGATCGTACTGCAGGATCTTCAGGTARCAAGTGGTCACATGACGCCATTCCCCCATATGGCTTTACATCATCAAATCCAAACAGCAAGCCAACATCCTCCGGAAGATGCTGTTGTCTCGTTCCAGGCTCTATGGGTTTGAAGAAGTAGGTCCCAGGCCAGCTCACGACCCTTGTCGTCGTCTTTGTTGTCGTTCGATATGTAACGAGTTTTGTGATTTCATCTTCTCCTTCATCGTCCACCGAGGCGATTGGAGCTCGGAACGGAGTCTTGTCAATTGTTGATACAGCTGCTTTGTCTTCATCTATYACATTGAAATAATCAAATATTAGATATGGAAAGATGGGAGCCCGCATCAGGCTGATCTTACTATCAGAAATTGTAAATTTTTAGCGGACCATCGGTGATTCTAGAGACCTCTGGGGTCCATGGTCTACTATTGAGATTTTCAGAGTATACATTCGGATTTTGTAGCCAACTCTCGCTTGCGAGCGCCCCGAGTCAGACTTCATTCTTTATCCCATTTAATCCTATTGCATTACTACTCTTTGCCACTAACCTTCAGAAGAAGAAGATGACGATGATGAYGATGACAATGATGACAGTGAATCACTACGTAAGACTTGGCCTTTTAGCATTTTCTTTTTCTCTCTTTCAGCCTTGCGTTTGGCTTTCTCGTCTTTTTTCACTTTGTCTTCACGTTCTTTTTCTTCTCTTTCCTTTTCTTGCTGTTCTTTGATTTTCTTTGCTTCTTTTTTCTTTTCCCTTTCTTCGTCATCTTCAAWTYTCTCGTCGTCAAAATCACCTGACTTAATCCTGCGTTCAATCATGATGACACTTAATTCTTCGACTTCTTTCTGTCTTTTCTCTTCTTCTTCTTGCATCTTTCGTATCTTTTCGAATCTTTCTCTCGCTTGTTCATCTTCTAACCTTGCTTTTCTATCTTCTTCGTTCTCATGTTCTATCATAACGTAGCCTTCTTCGGGCTTCTCTTCCTCTATGAAATCGAAGTCCCTCGTCTCATCATCAAGACTTGATTCGACTATGACTTGAGTCGTTGTGGTGACAGTTATGGTCTCTCCGTCATCGCTGTTCTCCTTATTGGTCGTTGTCGTAACCGTCGATTTCTCTCGGTCGTCGACATCGACATCAACATCCTCGGTTATTGTCGTAACAGTCACTGTCTCTCTGACTTCACCATTCTCCTGATCGGTCGTTGTCGTAACCGTCGATTTCTCTCGGTCGTCGACATCGACATCAACATCCTCGGTTATTGTCRTAAYAGTCACAGTCTCTCGGACTTCACCATTTTCGGAATGGGTCGTTTTAGTAACCGTMGTTGTCTCTYGSTCGTCGACATCGGCCGTTGCCGTTTCTTTCTCGTCGCTATCGACACCATYGGTT